ATAGAGTTCATTAGCTTATTATAGGAAAAATGTGCTCACTCTCCTCTTCTAAAGGTTAATTAGCTCATCACAGGCATTTGTCCATGCTGATCTCCTTGGTCTCCCCCTAATGCAGCCATACATGTGTGCCCTTTGAACTCCCAGCAATGGCTTAGAGGAAAAGTTTAACCATGCATTGGCAGCTTCTTCATTGCCAGGCTCTCCTGTCTTTTCATAACATCTCTGCCTGGCCATGCAGAGGGAGGAGGAGGTAGTGTCAGGTAGTGTCTCCAGTGTGATTTAAGTCATTGATGCTCTCATTTTCTCAGTGGAAAACCCTGCTAAAGACTCTGGTTCCACAGTGTTTCCTACAGTGGCATAGCTCTTTTCTCCTTTTGTATCAAAGGGAGAAAAGGGAAAGTGTTCTCTGGAAGCCAGGTGATAAAAATGTGATTTCCAAACATGTCCAGCCACAGCCCCGACCCTGAGATGTCAAGGGTAGCACTCTTCATCCCCTCAGGGGAAATGGATTCATGCCAAAGCAAAGGTAAGGTGGAAATCTGTGAGTCCCTCAACTGCTCTGTCTAAAGCATTTTCATTGAGCACTGCTGTGGAATATACCTCCTGTGTGCACTCTCAGGGATCTTGCTGTTTTTCCTGTGGAAAAAGGAGGGATGCATCCAGCTGCCATCTTCCTGGCATGGCACACACTGTCCACCATCTCCACAACAGGAACTCACTCTGCTGGGCATCAGATTCAAGCCTTGTGATAATCTAAAGGAGCTGGTTTTGAATCAGTTGTACAGCTGTTCAGAGGACTAGTGAGGATATTATATAATTTGTCCGAGTAAAATCACATTTTTAGCACAATCAAAATGTGATCAGGATCCCTGGTATTCACTACTTTTTTCCTAATATTGCCTCACAGCATTTCTCCATAGCAAAGGTAATTATTTAGCATGCTCATTTCAGTGGCAACTTAAAGAACTAGTGTATGTATTTCACAGCATCAGTTTTCCTAATTATTATCTGAGATGCTTATTTTGACTCAATTTTCAATTCCTCCTGAGAGGAAGAGAGCTAATCCACTCTGAATATTTTCCCTCTCAAATGATTTCTAGTGCTTAGTGTTGGAAACCAATCCTTTAAAAGAAACTGATCTAGAAGCTATTGAAGAATTTTTTTCCTTCTGCTTTCAGTTAGCATTGCATTTGATTTGGCAGTAATTGCATAGATGAGCTTGTCTGGAACTGGTGAAGCTTCTCTTGTTCTGAAGCTAAGCCCTAAACTTGATGATAATTCACAATTGCCTTCCAAAATTAGGAAAGGTGACAAATGACAAAATATCTTCAAATGACAAAAATATCTTCTTTTTATCTTCCTGTTACACTAGAGAAGCTTGATTTTTTTAATGTAAAATCTGTGAGGGGCATTTGGGGAGAAAACATGTTCCTGCTTAGAGTATTTTCACAGGCACAAGTTTCTCTAGGCAGCCTTGGGTTTGGTTTTTAGTTTTCCAAAACATTTTAAGACACAAAATTCAATGCCAAAAATCATTAGAATAAATTACTTTCAAAGTCTGGCAGAAGATAATTTTCCACAAATACTACATTGTAAATAATGAAAATGAATATATTAAATAAAATTATTTTCACACTACTTTCTGTAATACAAAGCTGATATTTTTACAAAAATTCTGTTTCTTTGTTCATTGCTGTGTTCTAATTTTAAATGGATAAGAAAGATGTGTGTATACTTTTTATAACTACACATTAAATATATTTATTCTTGTATTTAGTAATATATTTCTATATACAGAAATGCCACTGAGTAAGATCTTTTAAATAAATCAATAAAATGTGAATTCCAGGTGCAGATGCAGAATCCTGTTGCTGTGGCAAAGACACCACTTCACCCCAATGAAAACCCTTCCCAGGAAATGCCCATGTCTGTAATGTCAGAGGCTAGCTCAGATTCTTCCACAATATTTTCAGTAACATCAGCTGCAAAAGGCTTTAAGTTTGGGCTGGAGCCTCATGTTTGGGCAGCAGCTCCAGTGCTGGCCATGTCAGGCAGGTTTGTATAAAGATGAAGAGCTGCAGCAGTTCAGCCTGCAGGAGAAAAACATTGTTTTTCCATCAGCTCTTTCCTATTGCTTTCAACATCTCATGGTGGGAAAAAATGGAATCAAAGCAAGAAAGTCTCAACGTCTGTGGATGAGGTTCCCTCTTACTCCTCACGTCTGTAGCACATGAAAACATCTGACCCCAGAGTCATTGCATATACCAGAGCTGTCCTCCAGCAGTTAGGAATTGCTGATATCTCATATTGGGTACTCCAGAAGCCTCTATTGCTACACCAAATTTGATTCAGTACATCACAAGTGATGTCTCTGCTACCTAAAAAAATATGAAGAGAAAAAAAACAGGAAAGATTAACAAAGAGAGATCTCTCATTTCATATTGCACTATTTTTAAAAAATTTTTCACTTTTCTCCTAATGTAATAAGATTTTTTAAAGATCTCTTTTATCAGTTAGGCTTTATCACAGCACCTGACAGCATCCCTCTGGTGAGAGATGGATAAACATTTCCCCTTGACTACTGAATCACTTGGGTCCAGCCTGTAACAACAGGATGCCAATGGCCAGACCTGATGTTGCATCCTTTAAAGACATGCTTAAAGTTTTTTAAGTTTTCTTGGTAAAGTAGAAGTCATCATAATTGTCTTGTAACTAACTGCAAAGAATTTAAATGCCCTAGGGCTTAATTTTATTTTACCAGCTAGAATTGTAGCATTCAAGCTTTCTAATGTGTGTGGAATCTCTTCAGAATTAATCCTGGGTCTCTTTCCTTCCATCCTGATGTGTCTCCTGCTTCACAAAGGCTATTTGTCTCAGAGTTATTTTCTAAGCCTTTTTTTTTCCTCTTGCAATAGTGTCTTAGAATAAAACTGCTTCACTATTTAATTCTTCTGTTTCCCTGAGTGCAAGATGATAATTTTTTGAGTCTTTTTTTCACTGTTTACCCTACTGAGAATTTGTTTAGGAAAGTTGTGTCCTGCTATCCTTGTCAATTGATGTTTTATCTGCAGGCAGTTTCTGAGCCAGTTTCTGGTGCCAGCCATGTTCTTTGAGAGAAGTTTCTTTGATAGATGGCCAGTATCAAACCATCTCTGTGTCAGAGGGTGCACAGCTAGCACATGGCAACTTTTCTGTATCATGTGGCCATTCCTATTTGTCAGGGCTTGCTGGGCCTTGTCCATTTGCACACATTGTTTCCAAAATTTATTTAGATAATTTCAATATCCATGACTAACTGAATAATTGTCATGTATCCCTAAATTCTGTCTTCAAAAGAGAGAGACAGACCTATTCAGATTTTGTGCACAGATTATTCTCATGACTGGACCAAAGTTTATACAGAAGGCAACAGCAGAGCAATCTTCCCATGGATACTGTCAGCAAACCTCAGCTCTGATCAGCAAGATATTTTAGTGAACTATTTGATAAATGCTAATAGCCAAGACTTGCAAAGAGAGCAGTTGAATTTGTGATGTGGATGCTGGAGGCACATGAGCTTCCCCACAGGAAGGGACATAAAGACTCATCCATCAGCTGAGAGTAGGTTTGCATTCCTATTGCTTGGCCTGCAGCCATTTGGGGCAGCTGTGAGCAGCAGGCTCTGACATTCATGAGAATCTCTGCAACACATCTGGGCACTGAGGATTAATCCTGATTAATGCTGGCATTACACCTTCATTTGAAAAACTGGTTTTGGAGCAAGGGGTTAGTAAAAGTGAGGCCTGAATGTTTACACACCAGTGAAGGCTCCTAACTTCCCATACAGACATGGTTTACAGCTGGCTATCTTCACCCTGCTGCACTTCATGGTGCTAGGATTGTGCTGGGGTTTTCCTACACTACATTATCTGTAATCAAATACTGTTCCACTTTAAAAATGAATAAAAGCAAATCTGATACCATAAAATTGCATATGTTATGATATCTGAATTTGCATCAAAAGCTTGTTTTTCAGAGCAGAATATTCTGGACAGTTGTTTTGAGTTCTCACTTGTTACCCTTTCTGGGGTTGTCAGTCACATCTGGATCCATTGTCTCAACAAGGTGGAGGTGATGTTGCCAGTTCCATCAGGGGTGTAAGCAACAGAAGAGTCTACAAAGCTGAGGAGGGTATGGGAAGATAAAATGCATGACTGGCTTTTTGTCACCCATTTATTGTTCAGGAATCAGAGTTGTCATGACCTCCAGATTCCCTCTTGTTCTGGGGAGGAACAAAGGCTGGTAGCTACATGTGGAGAGAGAGGGGAACACAGACACATAAACACACAAATACAGGCTCAGACAGGCTGTGGAACCTGTATTCTCTCAGCAGAAGCTGGTCCAGGAGCAGCTGTGAGAAGTGCTGCTGAGTATGTCTCAGCTCCATATCTCTTTAGGGGAGAGAGAATAAATGCCTGAACTGGGCAGCTACAGTGTGTGTATTTGGGCCTCACAAGGGAAAGGCAGAAAACTGAATTCAGTTTTTAATTTGCTTTTAAACTATTGGTCATTCCCATGTCTATGAGGGGCACAGGTCATCTCAGCATGTCCTTCAGCTCACCAAAGTGGTGAAGCTCTAACAAAGCCAGATGAAAGTTCAGGACACCCCCAAGCCAGGCACAGCATGTGTGCTGTATTTCTTGCTCTGCAGGGTTACTGTGAGAGGGGAGCAGCATCCCTCCTCCCCCAGGCCTGGCTCAGCACATACAAATGTTCTACAAATGCTCCCATCATATCCCAGACACACTTCTGACAGTCCTTGACATACTCCCAGGGGCTGCAGTAGTCCCTTTGCTGCAGGATAGACAGAAAAATTTGGTGTGCTAAGTCATGTCAGCAGAAGGCTGCTTTTCACCCTCTTTCTGCTGACAGAGCAGTGGAAGAGCTGGGCTGTGGCACGAACAGCCCTGCTGCTGCTGCTGCTGCTGCTGCTGCTGCAAATGAAGAAGACAGTGAAGAAATGTTAGTACCACATTTAGCTTTATTGAAATTGAACAAATACCTTTTTTTTAATAAACCCTTTTACAGCAAGTGTAAAATTTTAATGTTTTACTCATCTTATGTTACAGGTTTTCTTCTTCCATGTAAGCAAAAATACCATCTTTTTTTCCTCTTTTTAATTTTTTTTTTAAATTTTCTACTTTAAAACATGTAGCAAGGATTTGAATAACGCAGATCCGGCACCAAAAGGTAACAGGTTCTGAAAATCACAGTACAGTTTTAAAATTCTTAGGTTAATTAATGATATTTAAAATGATAGCCACTTTGAGTAAAGATATAAATTAGAGGTCTGTAAACAAGTTGTGTTTACCTATAGAGCTATTGACTGCAGCTACAATGAGAGCGATAATAGAAACTCAATGCTAAACTGAGCTACACCTTGGAGGAAACAAGTTCTTACTAAGTAGTGTGGTACAGGGTAGCACAATAGGTAAAATACAGTTTGGCACCTCAAGTTGCATGTAAAATCAGCAGAAATAAAATGAAGTAAGTGCACTGTCTCCCAACAGAAATAAACTGGGCAGTTTCACTGGTTTTGGAGTGTCAACTATCAAATAAATCACATGACACACAAGTTCAACCCCAAAATTACAATTCTAGTAAAGCAAGATAATATTAAAATGCACACCCACAAGGATAGTAAAGTATAAATTCTTTTTTCCTTTTTTTTTCCCTCTCCCCTATCAGTAGAAATAATTTACAACCCACAAAAGGACTCCTTGGTGAAACCACTACCTACAGACATGATCATGGAATGTAGCTCAGTAGACTTGTTTCAAATAGAAAGGCAACATTATCCTGAAAAATTTTGGTCCTCTTATAACTCACTGTACTGTAGCCACCACAGTCTCTTGATAGATGTTTTAGGAGAATTGTTTGTTTTCTGATTCTCTTTTGTTCTGAAAGGTAATATCTTGGTGATAAAGCTGGGTATAATTTGGCCCCGATTATAGATGTCTGATCGATGCTGAATCTGGAAGAACACACTAGGAGTACATAGGGGGAGCCTCTTGACTGGTCTCACGGCATATTTTGTCATGGAATTACTTTTCCTTCTACACTTCTTTTCCTCTTTGCTAATTTTTTCTCCAGTGTTCTGGGGGAGTGGGGAAGAAACCCTTAGTCCATATGACAGAATGACATTTCGCTGTTTATTTACATGTGGATCACTTTGGCTAAGAAGTCCTGGCAAACCAGAGCTGCCTATTTCTTGTGGATGTCCTCATGCCGTATGATTTTGTATGTAATCCAGTAAAAGATGTTGAAAATGAGGAAGGCGAGTGGGAACGCAGCACGGGATATTGTATCAATCCTTTTTGCACGGTCAACAAACTTCTTTTTGATGGAATCTGAATCCTTTGGTGGTGCTGGAGTTGGGTTGGGTGGTGTAGCCTTGACTGCTGTGCCATCTTTGACCTGGAGGCAGTGGCCCATGCCATAGCCACTGAAATTGAATCGGCTGTCACGAGCAACTTCATCTTCCTGCAGGATAAAGAAGACAAATAAGACACACAATCACCTGTCTACTGAGCATGCCATGTAGTTGAGTGGTTGAGGTGCACCCCTCCAAAGCACCTCAGCAAATTACCTGGTTGCACAATGATACAAAGTTTGGGTTTTAAAGACAAACAAGTTAAAAACCACATTAAAAATATGTGGAAATCAGGTGACTTCCGGTGTTTCTGAATCCGAGCTTTAATTTTTCTAACCATGTCTAAATCAAGTGCCCTGAGCAGCAAGCTGTATCCCAGGCGTATAGGGAAGAGATTTGACTCTACAGGTTTATGTTGCTCTCCTTGAGCTTTCTGTGGGGAGGACACACAGTCATGTTGGTAGCAGGGTGTCTGCTCCAGCCAGGCTGAACTGGACAGTGACCCAGAGATCCAGGGGCCCAAGTTCATGCCGGTGGGTTTCCATTGCTCAGCCTCACAGCAGCCTCACAGCTCCATCTCAGACCTATGAAATGAGGTAGATCATGGTCCCTCCCTGCTCACAGGAGTGCTCTGACAATCAGTACTTCAAAGTGCACTGGGCACTTGGATTCAGTGCTAGCTGGGAGCCAGGTGCAGTAGCACAAGCTAATGTAGCATCACCCTGCAGAAATCCATTCTCTCTTGTCTGAGTGGGTGATATTTGTTTTTGGAGAGGTGAGTAACTACCATTGAACTTTATCACTATAATAACTGTGTGATGAAAGGCTTGTGACTGTGCTGGTAAATTCTCCCTGATGTTTCTCCTGTCTGATAGAACAATAATACACAAGTTAACAGTTGCTGGCTGCTCTCCATGAAGGATTCAAAACCAACAGACAAAGCAGCTCTATTCTTTTTCATTCCAGCAGGGATGAATTGTAAGTTCAGGAGCTTGTTCTAGTAAAGACCTTTTATTTGACTGACAGATGCTTCACTGTTGACTGAAAATAACCACTTCTTGGGTTGATAAGGAGCCCAATCCCTCATGAAGATATTTAATATCCTCATATCTCTTACCAAACCACAGCCTTCTGAACTTAACAGAAAATCAAAAACTGCAAGAAAAAAAGGCATCACAGCAGCAAGATATTGAATAATGAGTATATTGGCTGAACTTGGGGGTGGAAAGGGAGGATAATTTGCACCTATTCAGGATGTAAATCACTGCTCCTTCGCAGAAGAACCTCTTTCAATAGTAGCATTTTTCTCTCTCCCCAGCTCCAGGACTGGAATTGAATATATCACCCAACTTGCTGTCCTTACCTTGGAGCTGACACACAAAGGGGAATAATCAGTAGTGTGATTCAAGGCTACCAAATGAGAAATAGTCCCTCTGACTGCTCATGGCATTGAATGCTTATGGAAGGAGGGTAGGCAGTAAACAGTGCTTTGGAGACCCTGTCACCCCAGCATGAAGGTCCATTCTACAGTGAATCCATAAGCAGGTGGAAAATTGCACCATTGCAAGGCTGTTTGAGCACTTTTCCAGGGATTACAACCTTTCCATTTCAAAAGTTCACCATCATTAAGAAAAAGGATGGTCCTCTCCTTTTTCAATTTTATTTATTTGCAGTTTGCAGTAGCTCTGTGAAAACGCTGCTTGTCCTAGTGATTATAAGTATGTAAAATATTTTTAAAGATGAACCCACTGAGACCTAAGTTCTGGATAGCCTTATTAGGCAAGGCTTCTCTGGCATGACTTAATGACTTAATAACACTACAAGTTCCCCAGTAATACAGGGAGATGCCTTCCTCTCAGTGTTTTTCATTTTACTGAGTTTGAAGGATAAAATGCATGCCCAGGACATGAGAGGTGACTAAAAAGGGTAACAGATTTTCAGCAGCTGTGTTGCCATATGTAGTTCATTCATTTTTAAAAAATTTAATTTCTGTTGCTCCTGAGAGATCTGTGGGAAGAAAAAAAAGTACTGAGCTCAACGCCAGCTTGGAGAGTCCTGACTTCCACTGTGCCCTGGTGGATCACAGCTTTGTCACATGGGGCTGAGCAATTCATCTTCAATGTCACAGCCTTCCTTTTGAGTTTATGCTGTAGCAGCTTGAGTGGGAGGCCATATGACATTAGGGACAGGGATGTTTAAATCAAATTATTTTAGTTATTGAGCACCCAACCCTAACTATAAGGAGCCATTTATGTCCCAATGGGATTTAGAGCCCTGCTTTTCCAACCCAGACAGTTGTCTGTGCCACTGCTTTCTCACACAAGCCAGAGGGAAGCATGTCCAGTACCCACGTTAGTTTTTTATTTAGGACTGCAGCAGATGGGATTTACCCTGAGTACAAGAGGTACAGCATTCACCTGGGGTATGAGGGTATGAGTGATACCCTCAGAGGTCAGTTTCCCTCTCTGCTTGAACAGATTTTAAGGATTTTAATCTCCTTCTCCCTAATAGATCTCTGGATGGGTTTGTTACTGTTTTCCCAACATAGAGCTATTTGCTGGTTGCAAAAAAAAAAGTGTTTATGTAGGGTTTTTTAACCTTTATCAGAAAAAAACCCTTTTTCAAAGACTTAATAATCCATTAGGAGAACAGCATTGTCTTGCTATACCCATTTGTTACAGTGCCTGATATTATGCATTTACACAAACACAGCACTAGAGACACCCAAGCTGTCCCTGTTGGGATCTTTTAAGTGCCACCAGAAGCAAGGAAAGCCAGAGCCCTTACAGCCCCACCTCCTGCCCTGGAGATGCCACGGCTCCACAACCACCATGGGATTTTTAACTGGAAAATCCCCCAGGAGCAGAAGGAGCTCTGCAGCCTGGCATGTGCCTGCACTCTGAGCACTGCCAGGTCTCACAGGCAAGACCTGACCCCATCAGAGCTCTCCCACCTGACCAGACATCACCTGAAAGGCCTCAGGGGGTGAGAACTCTGCCCTTTCCAATGAAAGTTGCCAATAGTGTTGAAAGTTAACAATGAAACCCTGGAGATATGGAGACCCACGTGTCTGTGATAAGAGGATACTTTGGCCATGAGACTGCAGAAGTGGGACTGTGTCCTTTTGGCCCTCTGAGGCCCTAAACTGGTTGCACCCAAAAGGAAGCAGAGGGGACAGAAAGGCTTCCTCCATGCTGCTGAGGGGAGCTGGGGAATCAGCCCAGGTGCTGGAAGTTCATTGTCCATGCTGCTTGTGGGTTAGCTCACTCTGGGGTGGATCATACCAAAAAGCTTTCTCCCAGAGAAATCTGCCCCCCTGGGAGCTGCTGCCACACTCTGCCATCATGAGCCATGTGGGGATACCTGGCCTAGAAACAATAAAACCCCCAGTGTGATTTACTTCAGCATTATGGATGTAGTTAAAAAAATCTGTCTCTAAACCACCATAATCCTATGACAAAACTACAATTTGACATTTCAGATAATCTTCCAACATCCTGTTACATATAAAGGACTTGGGGGAATATTCACAGAGAAAGAAAAACAAATTTGTACACTATACACAAAAGGATAAAGAACATTTTCTAAATTATAATTCAAAATGTGAGAGGAAGAACTGACCTTAAGTGCTTTCCCTTAAGTAGTGGACATGTCTTCCTTTGACCTAGAGGTGAACTACTGCACAACTTACCTTGGGTACCTGCTGCTGGGGCTCCAAAATCACTCTTCATTCTCAAGGTCACACTGAGTTCATACCCTCTGACATATCTACCATGGACACCCATCCACTGACAGTCTTCAACCTGCTCTCTACCTTAGTCACTGCTAAAGTAGTCCAAGTGACTTTTTCAAACATCTCTATCATTATTTTAATCAGACTACACTTAAAACATATTAATTTTAAATGGGACAGAATCTCACTTGCATAAATCCCAGACTATTTATGTGTTTACAGATTTTAAAACCAAAATCAAAGAGCAGCTGGAAGCCACTGGACGTCAACTGGAGTGGCAGAATCCACTGCCATTGAAGTTATTAACTTTATCTTTCTAAAAGGATGTGAAGTTAGATGTTACATGAAACAGTCACAACTCCATCTGTCCTTGATTAAGGCACAGGGGAAAGGGTCACAAAATAGCATGAGAAACAGAGAATAAATTAATAGCAAGAGGAAAGTGTTCTTTTGATAGTTTTCTTTCAGATGTTCACACCCTGAATATTTTAGAAGAATTATCCCTTGAAAGCTAATTATATTTTCTGAGATTTGGGCAAATACTTTCTATAGATACTTTTTCAACAACATAAATTTATGACTATTGTCTTAGAATGTCATAATGAACAGGCTTAGGTATTGGCTTTAAACAATTTTCATTAAACAAGAATTACATATTTTTCTCATTTTTTAATTACCCTTTATGAATTTAGTGATTTTTTTGTGCATTAAAAATTGATGACATTAAATCTTCTTGACTTACTTTTAGAGTAAGCAACATATAAATGGGGGTAAATACTTCTGAAATGGTTTTTGGTTTTCATTTTTGTAAAGCTTTTATTTCTACTCCATCAGGGCTATAATGTATTTCATACTACCACTTTCACACCAAAGCAATCAGAAATAGGAAAAACACTTTAGAAAATCTAGCCCATTCAATGCCTTCCATGCTCAGCTTTCTGTACAATGCATTTTGAAGTGCTTTGTCCCCACCACTTTAAAATGCTTATTGTTAGCATTGACTAAGTTTTAACAATGAGGAAAATGAGAGAGAGGCTGGCTTCAAACAGTGTATTTAATTTACTCTCTGATGTGATTTATTCTTTTAATTTTGCTACTCTTTTTCCAACATATGGTGGAAAAACTATTTAAAAGACTATCTGGTTTAATTAAATTTCAAGGACACAGATGATTAATTTTAGGTATAGGATAGAGAACATCAGAGAAATTTTCCTTTTGGTATTCATAAGCACAAAGTTAGAAGCCCAGAATCAATTCAGACTTGAATGCAAAATGGAATCATTAGGGAGTAGACACCAAAATATCTTTGGAGATTTCATTCTTAAATCATCTTTACGACTTTGAGACACCTCCCATCTCTCATACGTTACATAATTC